ACAGCAAAAACTCAAGTAGAGTGATGAGTGGGAAACACTACCGTGACACCCCCCTTACTTTCATGCAGGACCTGCACTCATCTCCATGTCACCAGGTATCATGAGAAAAATAGCCATCTGGATCAGGTGCAAGATTACGCAAGATCAGAAGGTCAAAACCACAAAATCAAATCGCTCCTGAACTCCCCTCCTTTTCCCCGGAATGCCCCTCACAGACCAAACAGCACAATCTCGCCGCGATCGTTTTTGCGCATCCTCAGCGACCGCCACAGCTCCTTCTCCTCAATGGTCTTGCCGAGGCTGTCAGAGCTGTTGTCGCGCTCGCGGTGGAAGTGACGCAGAGCCTTCTTCATGCTGTAGCCGCGGTCGCTGTCGGGGCCCTTGTCGACATAGGACAGGAGGAGGTCGCCCCTGGGACGGAACACGACCATCTGGCCCTCGGCATTCGCGCCTTCCTTGTCGTCGCCTGACGAACGAGGCCGGTACTCGATAAGCTTGGTAGCCTTGTCCGAGTCGGTGCGGCGGGAGGACTTGCGCGTAGAGGAAGAGGAGACCTTGCGCTTCTTGGTCTTGGTCTTGGAGGACGAGAGCAGCCCCATGAGGTTGCTGCCGATGCTGCCCTCTGAGCGCTTGCCGTGTTTGGAATGCTTCGAGGGCTTCTTCTTTTTGAGAGGGCTGACAGGGCCTCGGCGACATCGCCGCCAGAATAGTCGGGCGAAGGAGGGAACGCTGGCCGCATCATACGGTTGAGGCCGCCGGTGAGACCAGAGTGTAGGACAGGCGGCGCATCCGCCATGATCTGATCCGTGTCGAGGTGTAGGCGCTTGCGCTTCTTGTCCTTCTTCGTGTCGGAGCCATCCTTCTTCTTGCGATCACCGCGCGGGGCAGGCGTCTCGAAAGCACCGGGAATGGGACCTGTGCCATACTGGTAGGGAGCCTCAGGGTCTTCGTCAGCCGGGGCGCCGGAGGGATCAAGGTAGGCGCTGGCCTCTGCCTCGTATCGGACGAGCTGCGTCTCTTCGTTGATGTGCCTCTCGCCAAGAGGGCCTAGCTGGAGTGTCGATGCGTTGGGGGTGGCGGACGGATCAAGGAAATCGAAAACGTTGACAGGGCCCTCGTCAGCGGGCGGCGGGGTGGGCGCCTCAGGCAGGTCGACTGGCGTTTTGGCGTCATCACTGTGGCCGTCGTACTCATAGCCAGCAAACTCGGGAACGTCCTCGACGTAGGGTTGTTGAGACATGGCGACTTGCTGGTTGTTTTGGTTGTTGTTGTGCTTCTGCTTCTTTGGTTTATAAAGAGCACCTTGGTACTTTTGTTCTTCTGTCATGCAGCTCTGGAACGGGTGTCAGTCCCATGTCCATTGCATACGAGTCGCCAGACATCATGCTGGCGGAGCGAGCGGGTATAACCTACGGTATGGGCACGATATTCAAGGCCGGGGAAATAGACCATGCAGTCAATGCAAGTGAAAGTAGCTCCTCGGCAGCGGTTTCTGTGGGGGTCGAGCTTCTTCTTGGTCAAGACATCACCACAACCCTATAGGCGAGAGAAGAATAGTTAGATGATTTGCTGGGTGAGGAACAGAGAGGACGTCGGCTGAGTTTTGTTGTATGCGTGGAGGGGTAGGCGAAGTCTGTGGGTTTCGAGAAAGGGATGGCGGCAGGAGGGAGGGGAGGGAGGAAGGAAAGCAAGAGTATATATCAAGTAGTCGCAAGCGCAGACACGGACACGCTCCCACGGCGGCCAGGAGGAGCAGTAGGGTCTCGAGGGGCAGAAGTAAGGGGGGGTTCGGTCGTCAAGGTTCGGGATGGACTGGTATGGGACGGGTATGGTATGGGTATGT